TGAGTCAATCTAATCCTTTTTTTTTAAGTGCCGGTGACTGAACCCAGAACCTCATGTATGCTGGGCCATCACTCTACCTGTGAGCTACAATCCCCAGCTCTGCCTTTGGGATTTTCAAACCATGACCTTAAAGACAGGGAAAAGCTATTATATTTAGATAATCTTAAACAAATTTAAAATAAAAAATACATACAATAGGTCATTGTATATCTCCAGATACAATATTCTATCTGCAAACACTACCTTAAATTCGCATGTGGAGCCAAAAGTCTTTCCTATATGGTTTAGGAAGATTTGGTAATACCCAGAAATAACTCAACAGTAACAAATGTAATGGGATTTAAAGCAATTAGTAAAGGGAAGGAAAGAGAAACCATATGGAAGATGCTACTGGGCTGAAGGGTAGGAAAATCATTACAATACTAGATAACATTATCTAGACACTAAATGTTATTATACATTACATTAAGTAATACTAGATATTATCACCATTTTAAAGAAGAAACCAAGTCTCCAAAAAGTCAAATAATTTACCAACGTCAGGAACACAGCAAATGACAGAGCTAGGTTGCAAAGTGATAGGGTATTTATCTAATTTCACAGCTAACATTCCCAGTACTATGATTATGTGGAAGAACATGTACGAGACTATTAAAAATGGTCAAGTGGGGGGAAAATGCTCCAAAAGCCTATATGATTGAAAAAAAAAAAAAGGAAAACTAAAATATCTAGTGGAGTAACGAGGGCACCTCAATTCATTAGACTTTCTTAGAAATAAGTTCCTTTGTTACGCATTGGGTATTTTCAATTTGCAAGACACTGGACTAGCTGTATCACATGGATTTTCTCATTGAAACTTGTAAGGCAGATTCTTTGTTCTCAAAGATAAATGGTGCTTCTGGCAATGCTAACCTATAATGCTATGCTGAATGCACCTTGGACACAATTTTCAAGGACACACAGGTGACTGGCATCACAACCAGACCAAGAAAAAACTGCATAATTAATCTCAATCTCTCTCTCTCTCCCTTTGAACTTAGGACCACATAATTGCCTCTACTTGAACCACATCCCCCATCCCTTTTAGCTTTTAGTTATTATTCAGGTAGCTTCTCCCAATTTTTGCCTGCAATCCTCCTTCTTATGCCTCCCACAGAGATGGGATAACAAGCACACTACACACACCCAGCTTTTTTGTTGTTGTTGGGATCATAGGGTGTGTGTGGGGGGTGGGTCTCACTAACTTTTTGTTAAGGTAGCTCAAGGGCTACCCTTTAACTGTGATCCTCAGATCTCTACTACCAGGTGAGCCACCATGCCTGGATAGTTCTTTTACTCACTTATTAACAAATGAAAATGTCAATAAAAATATATCCTTTTACCCAGCAATATCAGTCTAGAAACATCTTTTATGAAGTAATTGAGAATGCACAAATGTACAAAAATGTTTACTAATACATTTTATATATAATTAATTGAAAAACTGAAATTTCTCTGATAGATATTTGGTTTTAAAAACACCAAGATAATGAAATATTATGACTCCAAATGTATTGGCATTAAAAGAAGAACTAATACACCCTATATGTGGAAATATAACGTACAAAAATAAGGATGTTAGTATTGAAACACATTGCTCTGAAGGCTGGTTCTACCACTTACTTGTTTTATGACCTTGGGCAAGAAGTTTAACAATTTTTGAGCTTTGGATCCTCCAGCTGTTAATCCAGGATAAAAATAATTCATACCTTATATGATTATTATGGCTGTTGAATTAGACAAGTGGCTGTGAGACTTCAGTACAACATCTGATGTATAGTAAGTATTCACTAACATTCTTTAATGCATCAAAAACCTAAACTGTTCTAAATTCTAGACGATAAGATTAGGATTTCTTGTTTTTGCAGTGCCAGAGATGGAACTCAGGCCTTGCCCACACTAGGCAAGTGCTCTACCACTGAGCTTCACCTCTAGTCCCTCCATTTTCTTATTTTGGTTAGTTTCAATGTTCTAGTTTTTCTCAACACTACTATTGTTGTTTTGTCTCACTATGTCGGCCACGCTGGCCTCAAACTTGAGATCTTCCTGGCCTCAGCTTCCCAAGTGCTAGAATTATATAGGCAGGCACCATCACACATGGCTTCAACACTGTTTTACTTAAGCTTCTGCTTTAAAGTGGCAGCACCAAACTAACAATCATAAAAAATTAAATTATACACTATCTTAAATCAAACAGAACTGTTGTTTTATGCAAGAAATCAAAACCAAAGTGATTTGAAATTTAAATAGACTAGAAAATGGCTTCATTTATTAGGGCTGCTAATTTGCAAGGATTTAGAAATTGATGCAAATGTCTATAAGTGAATAACAAGTCTCTAAGTAGTACTGGCAGAAAATTTTTTTTTAATAATTTTAATACCTCACTAGTAAACAGCGAGTGTTTCAGCAAGGGATCCAATTTTATCCTTAGGATACTATTATCACCAAACAAGGTTAAATTGCTACAAAATAAAATTTTGTAGCAAGAAAGTAATACCTAATGATGAAATGGAGACACAAAGAATTCTGCTCAAATTGTAATTTGCCCCTTAATAATCATGTGAAAAAAGGCCTAAGCCTTTTCCACCTATCTCACAATAACATATACACAAAGTCTGACACATAACTGACAATCGGTACATTAATTTACATCCTGTCTTCCCTTGAGAGGTGACAGCTCCCATAACAGACAAAGGTACATGTAGCCAAGAAAAAGCAGCAGATAACTTACATATTCAAAGTGAAAGTACTTGGTTAGACTTGGTATTTCTATTAAGTCAGAGACAAACCCTAAGGAAAACAAAGAAACACTGTGTCTTAATTTTATGCCCCCAATGCTAACACATTTTTCTAAGAGGAGTATGTAATAAATGCTGGCCAAACAGAATCTTATTTGTCACCTCCCTCCACCCTATCCCTTGCTAAAGTATTTAGTAATGCTTAACACAGAACAAGCACTCAAAATTACTATCTATTAAAGATTTATAATTGCCTTAAAATGAAATAAGTATATATGAATATACATAATCTAATTATATGCAATTTACAAGGTTTTTAAAAAGCAAGGTAATTAGGATTAAAAGAAAATTCTATATCTAACATTCATGCAATTCATGTATATTAGGTATTCATGAAAAAGTAAGCTGTTTAAATAAGAGTCTAAAGCAGATTATTTTGAAATTAAGTAATTAGTGCTTCAATTTTTCCAGTGTAGGTGTATATACAAAGAGAATCTTAAAATCTATCTGAGAACATTCTGAACTACTTGAGTTTTTTTTACTGAAATCAACCACTTCCTTTCAAAAAGCCCACATAATTTTATGCAGAAAGCCAATTAACTCTAAAGCTATCTTTACAAGAAGTATAAAATTCCTCTAATTGTTTGAATAAAAATACTCAGTGATGGATAAATTAGTGAAATTTTTTTCAAAGAAAATCTACTTTAAAGGGGAAACAAAAAAACTGTACTTAAATGTGTATTTTGGTAACCTTTAAAAATGACTAAAGTAAAAAGAAACACACATTTTAAGTACATTAATAAAAAGTTCATATAGATTTAGAATTTTTCACAGCATCTCTTTTCAATAATCTTTCCTTATAATATGGAGTTTTCAAATTAATGATAGGATTCATTTCTAGGATAAGAAGAAAAGCTCATTATACATTTAACTTAAGAAGGGAAACAAAAAGGCTGAATCTCTTCATAAAAATCTGTGGTTACCATCTCTCTTTTAGTTACTTTAGTGACAGCTAAGAGACAACAGCACAACAAGCAAGGCGAAAAAAATTATCTTGCAAGCATTTACAGCTCAGCTTTATCTTTTCATTTCTTGATTCTTCTCTAGGGAATATTCTGTTGTTAAGACCCAAAAATCTTAAAATCATGACCTAAGTATAATTGTAAATAATATACAGATACTCACATTGAGTACACAGATACATAAAGTCTGTTTAATAGACTATTACTACAAAAATAACGCTGCTACAAAGGAATAACTATAACCTCATAAAATAAAATTAGGATTTATTATCTAAATAAAAGCTTTATGTCAAGGGAAAACTTGATGAAATTCAAAGGGAAAGGAATATGATGTGTAGTAAGCAGACTTCAGCCAATATGAGTAAAGCTGTATTGCTTAAAGCAGACACTCTCAAAACGGTAGTTCAATTATGAGGAACAATATTGAAGTATATTCCTTCAACATCTACAGTGCTTTTAAACACTCAGTTCTCTTAGTGATCTGATTAGTATAAACATTTATCAGCTACTTATTTCTGAGGTAACAGAATGTCAATTTTGAGAGCTATAAAAAACTCTTTAAATCACACATGATTCTTTTTCCAGGTTCATAGACCACCCAGTTTTTCTGAATGTTTATTTGCTTTTAACATCAACAGCTTTTCTAAAAGAACCAAAATAAACCCAAAATAAAAAAAATCTTCACTAGTAATCATACAAAAGAAATCTTTTTCATTCAGTAATACTATACCCATTCTGGTGAAAACTATCCATTTTTTAGATGGGATGTCAAATTATAAAATTTTAATACATAAAATAGGAGATTTTTGGCCAACATTTCCTTTAAAACAATAATGCTATAAGTATTTTAATTTCTGGATTTTCCTAAGGAAAAAAATTTAAGAGTATGTGTTACTCTACTCATTTTTTTTAGTTTTGAGAGTATTTCTACTCCCTTGATAGGTTTAAAGTAACAAAGAAAATAACATCAGAAAACTAAGATTATCCCATGATTTTATTCCTCAAATGTATGCTCTTTTAGCAATTTATTCATAAGGATATATAACAAAACTATATTATAACCCCATCCTAAAGCTGGTGACTTTCAGTAAATATGTTAACAAAATGAACTATAATGTTACTGGTTTCTTTTGGCAGTACTGGAATTGAATTCAGGGTCATGCTAGGCAGGCACTCTACCACTTGAGCCACTCCACCAGCCTTTTTTTTTTTTTTTTTTTTCAGTTTAGGTATCATTGGTTTATTATAAAAGGGAGACACATGGAAATTATTTACATGATGAAAGATTTCAGGACGTCAGTGGAATGGGCAGCTTCATGTGATGCCATCTCAGTGATTTATTTCAGTCTACGTACTTTCCAAGAATGGCACCATCTCTAAATAAGAAATAATCCTTGTCATCTAGAACCACTTTGGTGCCTCCATATTCTGGCAGAAGAACTTTATCTCCAACTTGTACACTAACAGGTTGGATCTCTCCATCCTTTCCTTTGGAGCCTGACCCCACAACCACTACTGTTGCTTGCAACACTTTTCCTTGAGATTTTTCTGGAAGCATAATGCCACCTTTAGTCACCGTCTCGGCTGCATTCCTTTCTACCAATACTCGGTCAAACAGCGGAAGAAACTTTCTAAATGCTTTTCCTGCCATGACTCGCGGGCCGCCGCAGCTCGGACTCTGCTCTCGCGCCGCCACCCTCCACCAGCCTTTTTTGTTTGGGTATTTTTCAATAGGGTCTCTCGAACTATTTGCCCCGGGCTGGCTTCGAATCACAATCCTCCTGATCTCTGTCTCCCAAGCAGATGAATTTATAAGACATATTAACATTTAATATACCACTTTAGAAATTAGTGTTCTAATTTTTACTATAAAATGCTAATTTTCACATAAATACTAGAATGCTCTTATTCCAAAATCCTTAAAAAAAAGTAAAAATGTTGAAAAATTCCAAGAAAAATAAATCTCCTTCTAGACTGTTTAGAGCTAAAGTTAATACAGCTAGTAGAATCATTACTCCTAAGTTCCTAAACATTTGGGATAAGGCTTACCACATCACATAACCAGAAACAAATTACTTATAAGCCTCTAATTTCAGAGTTAAAATGCCCTTGAGGAAGAAAAAAAAACCAAAAACAAAAAGACATATAGTTAAAAAGCCAAAACAAAGATATTTCTACATTCCATTCTTCTCTCAAAATGAAAAGTAGAAAAGTCCTAACACCAAAGTACAAACTATGAAGAGAAATTTGGTCCAAAATGACTCCGCAGATTTGGTCCTAAAGGCACAGCTCTCCATAGTTGGAAGTATTTCTCTAAAGCATCCAACAAAAAGTCATCAGTGTGGAGACTGAGGAAGAGGCTCAGAACCCATCCACAGGAAGGACAAGGAAATCCTAAAAACATGCAGACAAGAACATCACTGCTAGCCTTTTAGAGTTGATGCTTTGTCTCCAAGAGAAAAGGAATGCTGAGAAAGCTGTGCAAAACATGACGAAGCACAGGGTATGCAGCAAGATGACACACAATCAATCAACACACTCCCCACATTACTCTTACAGGATGCTGTTGAAACACAAAGCAATAACAACAAAATTCCCTTTTTCAAATATGAGAAATAGTCAAATGGGACAGGAAACAGAGGCCATAGGAAAATACTATACGGCTAAATAACAAAAGAAAATAATTTAAAAGCAGAAAGAATGCACAACATATGAATGAGAAAAGAAAGTTTGTATTATATTATTATATTATACTATCCTATTATCTCTAAGAGAATGAGAAGCTTGAAAGACAGACAAAGATGAAAGAAAAGAAGAGAAAGTCAAAATAAGCCAGCACAGCTCAGGGGAACAGAGTGGGAGTAGGAAACTGCTACAGAAACAAAGCCACACTAGAAACAACAGAATCAGGCTAAGGAGTAACACACAACAGAAGGCAGGAGAGCAACACCTGCAGAGCACCCCAGGAAAGAAATGGGGATTCATTAGTGTTTGTCAATCTGTCATGCAAATACAGGCCATAACCAAATCCACATAGAGGCCTACTACTGAGAAATCAGAGAAATTAAAAATAATTATAGTTTAAAAATAAGGAAATTTTAAGTATCGAATACAATGAAAATGCTGTATATCCTGACAATAAATATGACTAAAAATCTTGAAAAGGGGAAAAAACAAGAATGAGAAAATATGTCTATGATGAGTTAATTTCTAAAGCTAGGGCTCATTAAATAGTTATTTTAAGAGTTAACAATTCAAGTAACAAGTTTAACTATATTACAAAAGGTAGAAAGGGGAAAACATTACATAACAATTTAAAAGTGTTAAGAAAAACTATGAGAAATAAAGACAAGGTGAAATATAAAAAATACTTCATTTTTCATAGTGAGAACAACATACATTGCTTAAAACCAGCAAATTTAAAGAAAGTTATATGTGTTATTATATCATAAGGCATAAAATTTCCAAGTTATCAGAGTATATATATATATATATATATATATATGATCAAAACAGATATAGAACACACATGAAAATATGTAAATACAGAGCAGAACTTTTTAAAAAAAAAGTTCATCTCAAAAGTGGGAAAAATTCATTTATTAAAACCAAAAGTCTGACAAATCCATGTATCTACAAGTACAGGACATACCACCAAACCAAAGTGACTTGAAACACTGAAAGCAAAAGGATGTACAAGCAAAACTTACATTGGTAACACTATAAGAAAACTAGTAATCATAACAACAACAACAACAAAGCAAACAAAACCCCACAACAACCTGGGAGAACTTTTAAATTCTCTCAGACTATTGACTTAAAAAAGAAATCAAGCTTGTGGATTTCCTAGAAAATAGCAATAATCCTGTAAGAACATATAAGCCACAGCAAATAAAGTACTCATAGGAAAAGAGTCACTCGAGAGACATTAAGAGAATGGGTAAGATGTAGATCAACTTTAAAGCAGGAACAAGGAAAAGACGAACCTAGGATTCTAATCTAACTATTTCTTAAAATAGGTATCTGAAGTGTATGTGGCAAAATGTTAGCTTTCGTAAGAACTAAAGGTAGTTACATGGCTGTTTTTTATATTATTTTCTGTATTTTTCTCTTTGAGATTTCATAAATCAAACTAATTTCTATAATTAAAAATTTAAGTATTCTACTTAAAAATAGAAAATAAAAAAGAGGTAAACAGATTGAGTTATAAACCAACTGAAAAAATAAAATCAAGAAACTAATTATTGATCTAGGAGCCAATCTTGCGGTAGTAGGGAAAGACAACTGCAAAGTTACATTCAAGAGAGAAAAAAGTTGGGGTACAAAGGAAGGCGGAGAGAGGAGAGAAAATATTTAAAATAAGAATGGGGAATTAATCACAGGCATAGAAAAATCTTATAGAATAAGACAATGTTTGGTACAATGGACAACAAATTTGTCAACCTGGATGAAACAGTTTTCTAAGAAAATTAAAACTTTCAAAATTTATCCTATTTAGATTGAGGATAAAGAAAAACATACTAAATGTCCTATAAAGCCATCACAAGAAAAACTAAAATCTAAGAAAGAACATGTACACACACACACAGTTGTGAGCTAACCGTAAGAACAGATACGGTCATCTTAAACAAAATTAAAGGGAACAAAATCTACCACATTACAAGAGTAATCACCACAATAAACTCAAGAAGTTTCAATAGTATAAGACCAGATCAATATTAGAACAGTTATTGAGATAATAATAATGTAATGTTTAATGTTACCTGAATAAAGCTTTTGGCAGTTTTTTCCTCCATGATACATGAACATATCCTTGTTCTAAAGCTTAAATTGGAAAAAAGAGCTATTTAAGATAACTCAGGAAAACCATGAAAAAAAAAGTGCGGTGGGGGGGAGGGGAGAAAGACAGCCTAAAAATATTAAAACCTAACCAAAAAAAGCTACAGTAATCTAAAAATTTATTAGTTCACAGTCCCCAATTTAGTTTATGTCACAGATGACATTTCAAAAAAACAAAGTATAATTTAACAAAAGAGATGGTAATAATAAATCTACCTTTCTGTAAAGATGAAGGATCTTGGTGGGGAAACCAAATTTCTGTGGTACCCCTTAAGATAAGCTGGATCAAATATGCAAAACTCAAAAAGGTATTGTAAGAAAGAATGAATGATTTGAAACAAGTTTTTGGTTAGTTGGTTGTTGGTTTTGGTGGTACTGGGGTTTGAACTCAGGGCCTCATGCTTGCTGGGCAGGCACTCTACCACTTGAACCATTCCACCAGCCCAAAAATGAAGGATTTTATTTGTTAGTTTTTTTGTTTATTTATTTTTGGTAGAACCTAGGTTTGAATTCAGGGCTTCACACTTACAAAGCAGGTACTCTACTGCTTGAGCCATACCTCCAGCCCATTTTGCTTTGGTTACTTTGGAGATGGAGTCTTGCCAACTATTTGTCCGGGCTACCCTTGAAATGTGATCCTTAGCCTCCCAAGTAGCTAGAATTACAGGTGTGCGCACCCAGCTCATGGCATGGGCTATGATTTTATTTTTTAAATCACTTATAGTAAAGGAGAACTTTCAAAAAAAGAAAACAAGAATGACAAATGAATATATAAAAACTCACAAATTCATCTTCTAAAAAATAACCTAAGAAATAGTAAAATAGAAATCAGAAAAGATAACTTCATACATATAACAATTACTATAAAGACTAATTTCCTTACCATATAAATATGTCTAAGAGTTTATGCCATATATATAACATGTAGACACATACCCCTAAAATTCATGAAAGTTAAACCACAAGGAAAAAAAAATAAGCAAAGACTAAGAACAGATAGTTTTCAAGAAAAATATAAATAGCTTTAAATATGAGCAGCCAGGCTCACTCAATAAAAAAGAATGAAAAAAATCCATTCCAAGTATCAGCTTGGCTAAGACCAAAAAGAGTAGCATCCTTATCTGTGAAAAAGTGGGCAGAAACATTGATAATTTGGTAGGAAGGAAATTAGTATAACCTTTGTTAAAGGCAATTAGGCAGTATCCATCAAAAACATGTAAGTACACATTTAATATCTTAAAATTCAGTATGTAGAAATGCAGGATCTTCATTTTGGTATTATTAGTAATAGCAACTAAATAGAGATACTTAAAATGCTCAACAGGCCTGTTTATAGAAATGATGGGACAAACATTACACAATTCTATGCAGCTTATAAAGCGACTGACATTGACTTGTACAGGCCAGTAAAGATCTGAACAATGCTTTATTAAGTGGTACAGACACAGAAAGAAGTGTTATAGTGTACCCTTGCTTATATAAAAGTATACAGATATGTTCACATACTTGTACTATGCAAATGAAGCTCCTGGAAGAATAATGTGTACCATGTATATAGGCATGTATACAATACACCATCAGATGACATGGTGCTGTGAGGAACAATGAAGCAGGGTTACTAGAGACAGTACATGTGGGGGGAAGGATCAGAATTTCACATAGGGTGGTAATAACCAATGGAGTAGTGAACTACAGTGCACATAAAGCTCCCCTTCCCAGTTGGGAGTTAAGTAATATCTGAACTCTTGTCTGAAGAGTGATAAGCTGGGGGAAGGGACAGGGAAGACAAGCACTACAAAGAGGAAGCTCTGGTAGGTGTGCTTGGGTAGGTTTCCATAGAGGGCTTCACAAACAGAAAGTAGTTCTTAATTGGCCTTGGAAATAAACAAGAGAAAATTAGAGCTTCATTTTAGAAAAATTGCTCTGGTTGTAGTATTTTAGGGGGAAATAACCTGAAAAGTCAAGAAATCAGGTTTTTCAGTAATTCTGCCAGTAGCTAAATGCCTTTACAAGAAGAAGGGACAGTAAAGATAGAGAGGTGAAAAATAAAAAACAGGATAGGAAGATCACAGTCTGAGGCTGGCCCCAGGAAAAAAGCATGAAACTTTATGGAAAAAAAAGGGGTTGGGGGAGGCTGAAAAGGGCTGGGGTGTGGCTCAAGTGGTAGAGTGTTTGTTTAACAAGCATGAAGACCTGAGTTCAATCTCCAGTACTGCCAAAAAAAGGAAAAAGATAAAACAACAACAACAACAAAACCAGATGCATAGTAGTGGGCCAAAAAATGTATAGTAGATCCTCATTACCAGTGGGTTTTTTACAAATTTGTAAATCCACATGCTTACTAAATGTGTTTGTAGCCTCAAAATCACTACTCAGTACTTTTGGGGTCACACGCAGATAAGGGCAGAGCAGCAAACAATCTAAGTCACCAGTGTTTGAGTTCTAAGGTGAGGTCAAACAAGGTACTCTTGTCTTTTTTGTTCAGCTCTAATACTGAAAAACAAGTGTAATTTTCATGGTCTATTTAGGGTCACATTTTTCTACTTTTGTGTTTTGTTGGTAATCTGCTATTTAAAATGGCTTGCAAGTGTAGTGGTGAACTGCTACTATCTAATATTCCTAAACACAAGAAGGCTGTGATATGTCTGATGAGAAAAAGATTACATTAGATAAGGTGTTAAGTGCTACTGTCTGTGAGTTTAACATTATGAATCTATGATATGTAATAATATGTATACAATAATGTATCTTTAATAGAGACATACATAAAACAAGGTTAATAGTGTTTGGTTAATGGGTATGTGACCAAAGGCTCACAGGAATCTAATCCTAAAGGAGTAACATCTCAGTATTTGCTAATTCAGTATTTGCAGTGACTTTACAAAACATAACTACCCCAAATAACAATAGTCAGCTCTATATGTATGCTATTTTGCTCACATAAACATTTATTTATAAATTTATAAGGTACAAATAGCGGGAATAGTAATGATAAGCAGAAGGTGAGGAAGAGAAAATCAAGGATGATGCCACGTTTCTGGATTTGGCAACTGAAGAATAATAGTACTGATAATATAATAAAGATAGGAAAAGGAGGAAAGGATGGCAGTTTGAATGAGAAAACCAAAGACATCATCTTTGGAGAGTATACTCCTATACATGCCACGACACACAAAATATAACTCTGCCTTTACATGTACATACCCATCCTTCCTTTGAAGGTAAGAATTATAACTGTGTTCACCTCAATGTATATCCTGCATTTAAAATACTTTACTTT